CTCCTCAGGTCTTTGGTGATGGCTTTTCAGTTAAATCAGAAGGATCTGAAGGTTTGACACCCACAGAGGTTTTAAGCTGCCCAGGACACAGCCGAGGCTCTGCGTCGGGCCCCCACCGCTGTTCCCCTCTGGTGGCCAAGTCCATTGACAGTGTGTCAACCTCTGACTCCTTTCCAGATCCTTCTCCATCACAGGCCAGGCTTCGCGCACAGACATGCGTCACGTGCTGTCCCTGCCTTGAGTGAGCTAAAAGGTGTTTTGATTATCAGGTGTCCTTAGTTTTGTATCTAAGCCCCACCTGCCCCAGTTAAATTTCTGACCTGGCTCAACCATTTATATAAAGAGAAATGGCAGCATTTAAGAAATAAATAACCAACAGGCCTCCATTTGCTCAGAGCTGTGGGCTGACAGTCAGGTTGTTGGTTGTGTGAGTTAATGGAACCAGAAATCTCAGGCGGTGACTGACAGTGTCATTCAGCGTGGAGACACTGCTTAATTGTCCATGAAATCAGACTTTTGTATTGACATGGCATCTGCCCTAGTACTTGCGGTGCGCAGCACAGTCCCAGGTCGTTGGAGGGATACATTCAGTGACGTCCCCTCGGATGGGCTGCGCTGGGCTCTGACTCAATTCAGAAAAGAGGAGACCATGTGTCCAGGCCCATCAGGACTTTGTCTGGGAACAGATGTGCCTCCTGCCATTGGTAAGATGTCAGCACTGAGAGATAAACGCGGACACATTCTGTCTGCTAGGAACAAGCGTGGTCTCAGGGAGCAAAACCTATTTGTACCAGAAAAGATTTCTTTTTCTGGAATCTTCCATATTAGCCACTTCCCTTCTTTTAGCAGACAAATAGCACAAGAACAGAAGCAAAGTCAAACAGCCTATGTTCTTTAAAGAAAAATCATCCTGTTGAGCGCCAAAGCCATGCACGTCGGTGCTCGTTTGCTCATTTGCTTTGTTCCTGAGGTTGACAAGGTGTAGGCTTGTGATGATGGCGGGGCTTACCTAGGGTATGTGCTCAGTGGTCCCCCTACTTGCTTAAGGCCTGGTGGTGGGATGTGCCAACAGTGACTCAGTAGCAAGACTCTGGGAAAGTGTTCTTTCCCAGGAAAGTAGCCAGGAAGGGAAGGGTGGGCCCAGCCGATAGGTGGGATGAGCTAACTGTACTGCGCGGACCTCCCGAGCTTCCCCAGACACCAAGTGGAGGAGTCTGGTCCGAAGGTAGATATTGCCTCAGGAGGTTTAAAGCTCTGGCCCCAGCAGGAAGCTTGGCGCTGGGATCGGTCCTCTGGGGATCAATCCAGGAATCAATTGCCTAAGGGATCAATCATCCAAATCACATGGGAATCAATCATGGAACAGTTGTCCAAGGATCAATCATCTGAGGACCGATTATCCAGGGGGATCAGTCCTCTGGGAGCCAACCACCCCGGCATCATCCTCGGGCGTCTGCTCTCCAGGGTTGTGACCCCTCCCTTCCAGCCATCCCTGTGATGGCGCCCCAGCAGCTGGCTGAGTCGGGAGGAGGGCTAGGCTGGGATCTCCTGTGAATCTCGTGGGTGAGCCACACCTGGGTGACAGAGTCGTCTGCTCTGTGTGCCTGGGATTCTCTCCCAACCTGCTGTCGTCTCCAGGGTTGATTGAGTTGAAAGTCCAGGCACCGGAGTCCTCCTGCTACATGGAAATCAGCTGCACAAATCTCATTATTGCTAATAGTTCCATAATGTTATTTTTCCTGCTAATTTGTAGAGATACTTTTCTCCATCATTGATTTATTGAGATATTTAGTAACACAATACAAATGAGAAAAACAACCCACAGTTGAGAAAGAGTGGATGCGTTAACAACTGCCAAATTTTTCGTTTCCACTCGTGATCACGGTGTAAATATTGATGTGGATAAATAGCTCAGCGAATTATAACTGAAGTATAAAATGCTGAACAGGCTAATTTTGGAAAGGCAGAATTAAGCAGAATAAAAGTGAACATTTTCTTCTATTAATTCAGAAAGAAATTATTCTGGTATGACATGCCCCCCCATTTCTGAGTGTAAATGGATCCCTAAATAAATCGTTCAGTGTTGAGATTCTGTATCAATATTTCAAAATGTTTTTATAAAAAATGCACACACTTCCTGGAGCTATGATGGAGCACTTAAAATAAAATGTGGCCTCCAGGTGATGGTGGAGGAGGGGATCATTTTTCTCCCCTGGCAGTCACAAAGCATTAATGCAGAAGATACTGGAAAATCCCATTCCAGAGGCGCCTGGGCCTTGGAGCACTCTGAGGGCATCTTTCACGCTCCTGCTGCCTTAATTTCAGTGGATTTAAACAATACTTGGCTTATAAGTCTGTATTTTTGTCTTTGGTCTCTTATAGCATAAAATTATTTTTTAAGAGGGAAAACCTTCCACAATTGAATCCACATTCAAGGCCCTTGGAGCAGCGACTTGCTTCTAATAAGCACTAAGTGAAATGGTGTGTCATTACCCAAAGCCTGCACGGTCGAGGCCCCAGAGGGACCCAGGACACGAGGATGGGTGGGTGAGTGGGTGGATGGATGAGAGCGACAGATACTTACTGAACTCTTGAAAAACTCAAGAGCCCTGTGTATAGACAGGCAGGTAAATGTGATCCATGCTCTGGAGACCCGTGGACAGGGAGCAGCCATCCCTTCTTAGAGTCGGGGTCAGGGTCGGTTCAGGGTGGCTTCAAAAAGGTGAGACTGAGAGGGTGACAGGGTCTTGTGTCTTCCCCTTCCCCTGCCGTAGACTGTGCACTGAGGGCGAAGCAGGGCCTAGCCACAGAATGGGCCTGGGAATGTCTGTGGGTGAAGGAGGAGGGTGGAGGTCCCCAGGCCCAGGAGAGGCTGTTCAGAGTAAACCGCATCCAACAACCATGGCATGGGCCAGCTGCAGTGTTCTAAGTGGAGGAAAAAACAACAACACAGAGACCTTAAGCTAGAGCTTGCCATTTGGGTGGTGTTCCTGGTAATGGGTGTCTCCATGAGCAGCAACTATAAATGTGGGTATTTAGAAGCAGATCACCACTGTTCCTCCTTCCTGCCTGTTCCGGGACGTGCATCTTTAAAATCATTCACATCTCTCCTTCATTAACCTGTGACTGTAAGGACTTAGTTGGGCAAACTATAAATCCTCTGCAAACAGAGACTTCCACCTGGCAATCTCCTCTTGTTTACCGTGGGGCTGGTCCATCCGAGCATGTCTGCGCTCCAGCTTCTGGATGCACTGGTTTTCAGATCGCCCTCGGGGCCCATAAAGCTGTCAGCGCGTGGGCATGCATATTCAAATGGGCCCTTCCTCCACAGATCTCCTGCTATTTAAAGTTTCTCCTACCTGTACCTATAAAAGAAAATATAATTTGTGAAGGATTGCTACTTCAAATGAACATTTTGGGCTCTGAGCCCACCTTTTAGCAAACAACCTCCTTAGGGAGTAAATTTATATTCTATTTTACAAACACTCATGTAGTGCTTACTATGTGTGAGGCACTGTTCTAAGCAGTTTATAAATAATGACTTGTTTAATCCTCAAGGCAACCTATGATGTAGGTACTTTGTTATCACCATTTTACAGATAAAGCACAGAGAGGTCAAGAACTCTGCCTAAAGTTACACAGCCGGTGAGTGGGGCCAGGCTTTGCTCCAAGGCTGTCTAGTTCTACATTTCAACCTTTTAGCCATGATGCTGTAGGGTCGTTGGTTTTATGATGGTGGATTCCACTGATCACATCTTTGCTCTGTTGGTGTATGTCTCAGACCAGACCCATTTACTTCTTCCGTCCTCTCTACAGATTTTCTGGCTTTTTTTTTTAACTGTGGCAAAATATGCATAACATTTAGCCATTTTTGAGTGTACAGTTCCATGTCCTTAAATACATTCATGTTGTTCAGCCATCGCTACTGTCCATCTGCCCAAGACTCTTCATCTTCCTGAGCTGAAACTCTGTCCCCATTAAACACTGACTCCCTGCCCCCTCCTCCAGCCCTCGACAGCCTCTGTGCTACTTTCTCTCTCCGGTTTGACTGCTTCAGGACCTCACAGAGTGGAATCAGCTTTCATCTTCTGCATCTAGCTTATACACTCAGCCCCATGTCCTCTGGGCCCATCCTGTTGTAACATGTGTCAGAACGATCTTCCTTTTCAAGGCTAAGTAATAGTTCTTTGTGTGCCACATTCTGCTTGTCAGTTCATCATCCCTGGGCACCTTTTGGACTACTGTGAATAATGCTGCTGTGGGAAAAGGTGCTGAAATTCAATGTATTTTCCAAAAATTTATACTTACATCAGGCAGCACCTGAGCATGGAACAGAGAGACCTATGTGAGTGCCAGGCGGGTTTGCTGCTATAGTGACTCCAAAGGATGCTTGGCCTCAGTGGGGCTCTGCATGCTTTGGAGGTGTCCTTCAGGTCAGAAGCCAGGGGCCACCGTCCAGGATGAGGGCAGGACTGGCAGGTGGTCACCCTGTGTGTGGACCCCACAATCCTAGCATCTCTGCCCAGCCACCTTCTTAGCCCTTGGCTGTAAAGGAGGAGGCAGCAGAACGGGGACAGTTAAGCCACCTCCGCAGCTACAGCTCTGGGCTGGGGACTGCCACAGAGCCAGCAGCCTCTGGGAGAGAGGCGGGGCTTACGGTTCCCACGGTGACCCCTTGGCTGGATGCAGGTGGACACCCCAGCTGCACAGGTACCAGCCGGAGAGCATCACGAGAGTGACCGCGCAGCAAGCTAGAAGAAGCAGAGACCCCGAGGAGGGGATCTGGGGAATCCAGAGGGGGCGTCGGGGGTCCTGGAATGGAAACGCAGCAGGTGTCCCTCCCACCTCCCCATGTGACTCTCTAACCCCTGACACCGCATGGGCATCCAGAGCAGGCGGCTTGGGCTGGTCAGCCAGGCCGGAGTGGCTTCCGGGTGCCTGGGGTTCATATCTGGGAGAGAAGCAGACTCACCTCTGCTGTTTTACTGTCCCTCTTGCAGATGAAGGCCTGTGGGACATGTTTGTGAAGGACATTCCCCGGAGTGCCACGTCCTACACCGTCAGCCTGGACAAGCTCCGGCAAGGAGTGACCTATGAGTTCCGGGTGGTGGCTGTGAACAAGGCTGGCTATGGGGAGCCCAGCAGTCCCTCCACGGCAGTATCAGGTGGGGACCCCTTCCAGGGAGCCAGAGGGAAATGAGGAAGAATTGGAACCCCGTGTCCATTGATGACAGGAAGAGGGCAGGCCTGAGCTCCTGTGGCACCCCGCAACTGTGTGGCAAAGGTCTATTTGGTCCATCCATGAAAAACTGATGCGGGTCCCTGCCCACAGCTGATGGCTGGCTCTGCCTTCCCGGGGACGTGGGCCTCAGCCTCCTCCGTGGGGCTTGAGGGAGCATTTCTTTGAGATTCCACTGTGTCCAAATGCTGGCCACGGCTGCCCCCTGGCCCACAGTAGGCCAGTGACATCCTTCAGAGAAGCCAGCCTCTGTCAACATGGAGCCTCATCACATCAGGACCCCCGCCATGCCCACAGGGATCCTGCCTGCTGTGAGAACCCCCTGGTCCCCTCTTTCCTGCCTGTGCTGGAGTCAGGCCCACCCTGGCCACTCTGGGTGGCCCTCTGGGGAGTTGTTGGACTTTTTATGAGGAGCATTGAATGCACAGCCTGAAAACCTGCTTATAGCTTTTGGATTCAAAATACTGTCATTTCCTAAGAAACCCTGTGGTGTCATGTTATCCAGAGTCGATTCCCCTTTATTCCCAGTGTGCGCAGGGCCTTCATTCTCCCGGGAGGTAGTTCATGGGAGGTAGATGTGTTGTCTGTGAATGTGGGCAGCTGAGGCAGACCCTGGGCTCTGCCTGTGAGAGGCTCCCTACTTGAGGGCTCTGGAGGCCTGGACCTACTCTTCTGGAGGGGCTGCTGGAGGGCACCAAGTGGGGCCCTGGGGCCAGCCGGCCCCCCAAGAAGCCAGTTCCCATTTTCCTGATCTTAGCAAACAGTGACACCAAGGAAAGAGGGATTTCCTTTTCCAAAGCAGATTTTACACAAAACCTTTTCTATTCATTTCTCAAAATCAAATCTAAAACTGGAGCTGGTAATCCAGCTCAGTTTTCCTGAAGGCAATAAATAAATAAAACACAGGGCCAGCCCTTAGGGACGTAGTCCAGCAAAGGCGGCCAAGCTGTAGACAGACAGACAGATGCGCCTAGTGAGGCCCTGTGAGGAAAGGTGAGTGCAGGTGTGGGTGAATCCTGAGCTGGGCAGAAGCAGGCTCAAATCTGGAGCTAATGGGGAGCCCTTGAGAATCTGGGGGACAACTCATTTCCATCTTGGGCAGATCTCTCTGGTGGCAATATAAAGAGTGGATCTGGGACACAGTTGCCTCTGTGCTGGGGAGAGACGGTGAGGAACATGTGGGGTAAGGAGGTGGGCTGGTGGGAAAGAAGCCTCACCCAGGAAGGGAAGCAGGGCCTCACCTTAACCCAACTTTTTTTTTTTTTTTTTTTTGGTACTAGGGATTGAACCCAGAGGTACTTTACTTCTAAGCTACATCCCCAGTTCTTTGTATTTTTTATTTTAAGGCAGGGTCTCACTAAATTGGTTAGGGCCTCACTAAATTGCTGATGCCAGCCTTGAACTTGCAATCCTCCTGCCTCAGCCTCCTGAGCTGCTGGGATTACAGGTGTGCACACTGCGCCCAGCTAAGCCAACATTTTTAAGCAGGTGACATTAAGAGGAGAGGCATGATGGTAGTTTTGATGGGCAAGGCAAGGACAGAGGCGTCTCAGGTGGGAGGAGCCCTGAGCCTGACTCCCTCACTGAAAAGGCAGAAAATTGCAGCAGCTTAGGTCCCAAAGCCTGCTGTGGGGGGAGAGGTGCCTGCTGCCTGAGCGGGTCCCACAGGGAAGGGGACAGTAGCCCACACTGGACAGTGGTCATGTCTTGTCTGTGATTCACGTCATCTACAATGTCCTCCTCGCCTGGTTCTGGCAGGACCGCTGCATCCGAGGTTTCTGTCGCTGTCACTGCGTGTTTGTGTCTTTCCCACAGCCAAAGTGGAAGCCCCGTTCTATGAGGAGTGGTGGTTCCTGCTGGTGATGGCTCTCTCCAGCCTGATCATCGTCCTGCTGGTAGTGTTCGCCCTGGTGCTGCACGGACAGAGCAAGAAGTACAAGAACTGCGGCGCAGGTGCGATGTCCCCTCCACCTTCCCCACTCCCAATGTCCCCGGTGCCCCTGAGCTAGGGGGTGACCTCGGGTCTCCTCCTCCGGACCTGCTGTGCCACTATCCACCTTTCCACTGCATTGGGGCTGTTGTGGCCGAGGCAGATGCCGTGGGTCTGCTTTCTGGAGGCAGCAAGTTGAGGCAGGCAATAGCTCAGGACCTGGCCCCCTGCAGATCAGCCATGTGCCTTGGATGCTGTGATGGGGGCATTTGGCACTCACTTGGTTCCCAGGGTCACGGTTCCCTCCTCTGAGCGTTGCTCAGATGCTCTGTGTTTTTAAATGTTTAGAGAGGATGTGAATCAGTATTATAGAGTCCACTATGAGGAGAACAATAGACTGGACATCTCGACTGTTGGGGTGTCTTGTGGCTGTTACGGAAATGTTCCCCTGGAATTCCCTTCTCCTGGACCTGAGCTGGGGCCTTGTCTTATGTCCCCTGGTCCTGCTTTGAGCCCTCCAAGGGCCATTTCACTGTGACGCCCCCAGCATGTGCTCCCCGCTGGTGCAGGGCATGCACTTTATCAGAGAAGCCAACAAATGGACACAGTAGGCCAGGCCCAGAGGACACCCTGGGTGGCCCCATTCCTGTGGGGGTGGGAGCATTGGGAAGAGTACACGTCCTCCAGGGCTTCTCTGTGCAGAGGTGCAGACAGGAGAGTGCAGAGGACGCTCTTCACAGAGGGTGTTCACACAGTGAGAAGCCCGCACACCAAACGCTGAAGACTGGGGCACTTTGTGAGTTTGCTCTCCTCAATTTTAAAAAGTTCTCATAATTACTAGTGAGGCCGCTTCTTTGCATCACCAGAAAACGGCTGAGCTTGGTGCCTGTTCCTGTCCCAGCCAGCGTCCTCCAGCTGAGCCCAAGGAGCTGACGGGCCTCTGACACTCAGACTCCAGCTGGACTGGGCCTCTTTCTAAGCCTGGCTCTGTCACTGGAGGTTTCCCGTCAGTGGTCCTTCTAGAAGTCCCTGATGAGGCGCTCTTAAAAATAGCCCAACCCGCGGGCCCCTGGGCTGAGGAGCAGGGCCCAGAACATCCTTATCCAGCCATCTGCAGTGTCCATCCTGACTCTGAAGGGGTTAATACAACTGGGCACCTACAACACCTTACCATTTGCTTTGGTAAAGTTAAGCAATTCATCCTTCAAAGAAAGGATTTATTTTTTTCTGTATAAATTCACTTCTAACAAGTGTCTGTAAATCAGATTTTATTCCTATGGGATTTACAATGTATGAATGGCATGTCATTTTACTGAGTTAATGCTATTACAGAATCCTATGTGTGGCGCATAGAAAATCTCCCTGCTTTTCACCCTCCTTCTCCATCTGGAAAGCAGACTTAAAAAGACAGATCTGACCTGCAGCTTCTGATACCCAGCCTCACCCTGGAGTATTAATTTAACATCATAATTGAAGCCGAGGAAAAAAGACAAGCTTGTCTCCAGGCCTGTCTACCCTCCCTGCCCAGGAGACACGCAGAACCTAAGCCAAGCCCGCCGGGTGTCACTCACACTCCTACCTGTGGGCACTCCCCAAGATGCCACCCGCGGCTGTGTTCCTTTCTGATTATGGTCCTCTCCTGCCCCCCCCCAACCCAAATCTCCACTCACGGGCAAGTTTTTCTCCATGTGCTGCTCTGCGCTTGTCCGTTTCTCTGTGGCTCACAGAGCAGCGCGACAGGTAGAGGATGCCAGGGGCCCCGTGGAGAGGAGCCTGCCAGGGTTAACACGTAGCTGCCATGCCCTGGTTTGCACACGGGCTCCACCCTAGGGCCAGCAGAGTGGTGGGGGACAGAACAGATGAAGTCTGTGCCTCAGTGCAATGAGGGAAGGCAGAAGGCGATCTAAGGAACAAGCAAACGTCCTCCTGCAAAAGTCCCCCAGGCGGGCTAGCTCGGGATGGGGTCTGTAGGGATGCAGGTGTGGGGAGAGGAGGGTGCTCTGGGGACTGGGGAGGGAGCCAGCTGGTTTCACAACATCTGTCTCAGTCCGTTTTCTGTTGTTAATTACACTATACCACAGACTGGGCGGGTTATAAAGAAGAGAAGTTCACTTTGGCTCAGGGTTCTGGTCCAAGGTCCAGAGACATATCTGGTGACAACTGCCTTTTTGGCAGAGTCCCAAGGTGGTACAGGGCATCACATAGTGTGAGACAGGGAGCACACAAGAGACCTGGGGAACCTGACTTTCAGAGCACACTCACTCTCAGATAACTCATTAATCCATCCATCAGATGAATGGATTAATCCACTCATAAGGTCAGACTTAATTCCTTCTTAGAGGTCCCACCTGGCCCCACCTCTTAATATCCCATAATGGGGATTAAATTTCATCAAGAGGCTCAGGGGACAAATTATTCAAACCACGGAAACATTTGCCCCCACCTGGAGCAAGGGGTGAGCAGGCCAGAGGAGCTGGGGAAGGGACTTCCAGCCCGAGCAATCAGGAGAGCGCGGAGGGGTGAGCCTGCCTAGGATCAGGGCCTCGGGGCTGATGAAGGGGACAGGCACAGAACAGGCCAAGTTCATGACAGGCATGAGGACCGGGGCTCCCATGGCCAACGAGAAGGGAGGCCATGTGGTTTGGTTTCCTTCACCCGCGTTCATTTCATCTGCTAATATGTTCTGGTGTGTATTAGTAAATTTACTTTTTTAAAAGTATACCGTTGGTTCACTGATTCAGTGACACACCACCAGCACTGCTGTCCATCTGGGAGCATTTTTCTTACTTAATTAAAAAGATCCTGTGCCCTTTCTTTAGCTACAATACCCATATACATTTCCCTTTAACTTCCTGTTTTTTTATATGACTGTGCATTTTTTATTTTGAAATTTATTAAGTATTTAACTTCCCTGACTTTAATAAATTTATGCATTCTAAGCACATTTTCATAAAATATCAGCCAGTAAACTGGTATTTTGGTATCAGGCAAAATAAACACTGAAATGCTAATATTGTCATTTTGCTGCAGCACAGCATTTGATACATAGCCATGCTCCCAGCTCAGCTGTACCTGCCTCCAGAGCTAAAGCATCTAGCAGGACCGCAGGCACTCCTGACCTTGACTGTGTGGCTTGGTGTGGCCATGGTTGGCAGGCTAGTAAAGCTGTGCTCACTTTCCTTGTGGGGCTTTAGGTAAGAGCATCTCCAACATGGAGGAATCTGTGACCCTGGATAATGGAGGATTTGCTGCCCTGGAGCTCAACAGTCGCCACCTCAATGTCAAGAGCACCTTCTCCAAGAAAAATGGGACCAGGTAAGGAGGCAACAGGTAGGCCTGGGTCAGCCAGGGCTGGGTGCTGGTCCAGGGCATGCCCACAGATTTCCACTGAGTCCCCCTGTGCTGGTCCAGAAAGCCGAGCATAACCCCACAACAGGCATGATTCCAAGACCCCAGGGTACATTGGCTCTGGCAGGGGTAAGGTTTCAGAGGGTGAGAGAAGTTTCCAGTGCATTTTCAGGGATATGAAAAAGAGGTGGGACCTCAGGTGTGGAGGCCCAAGACTAGGGCACCTGAAAGTCACCAGGTTAGCCTTCCCCGTCACTTAGTGGGAAACTCTGATCGGGAGTGCCTAGTTCAGGGGAGTCACACGGGCTGCAGCAGGCTCATGCATGTCCTAGAGGGGAAGTGGTTGCTTTTGTCATTTGATGGATTCCACGATTTCCTGCAATGCAAATGGCCATTTCAGATGTGTGCAGGAAAACAGCAAAAGTGACCTCCCACTCACTCAAGAGTGACCTCTTCCCTCGTATCCTTTTCCCAGTTTCAGCAGGAAGTAAGTTCCCCAGAGATGAGCAGGATAACCTTGACCTGCTTGACTTGTAGAGCCTGGTCTTCTGGTCTTGACAGTCTGGTAGAAAAAACAAGACACCTGGAGATGTCCTCCTGGAGCAGACTCGCAGGGTCTTACCCATGCCCAGCAGCATGAGGGGCCTCCTCTTTCTGGGCCTGGCTCCACGGGGATTGGCTTTTATTGCAAAAACATCACATACCATCAGGCAGAGTAAAGGTCTCTATTTCCCTTCACACAGCTGCTTTCCCTTCTGCAAAAGCTCTTGTAGCAAGCATCGCCCACAGGTAGCCTCGGTGGTTCCTGTCCTCTGCCTGTTTGGGACACTCAAATTGCTGGAAGGGTGCTAAGGCCAGAGATTACAGAGGCCCTCAGCTTTTGGAGGAGGCAGGCAGCCAGTGGGTCTCCCACCTGCCATTGGCTCTTGGCCAGCACCCTGGAGGCCAGTCCCAGCAGAGCAGACTGCCACCCGCCATATTGCTCTCCTAGGGCAGGAAGTAGGAGTGAGTGGTGATGTCTGGTCACATCTTTCACTCCACTTGTCTACTGAGAGGCAAGCTCACAGAATTGTCACAGAATTATGGAAAAGCAATCACATAATTTCAAGACCAAGAGGGACTCGTCACACAGAATTTTAAAATATTACATGCTCTGCTCCTTTGCTGCGATCTGTCTTCAGGCTCCTAAGAGAGGCTCGTAGCTTTGAAGCACATGGCCCCAGGACAGACAGCGGTCTGGTTTATTAAGTCATATGATTCCTCCCAAAAAAATTATTTTGTGGTGAAGTGGGAAGATCTCAACCCACAGAGATTTATTTCCCCGAGGGTTCCTGTAACAGGGAGAAATCAGTCTCGTATTAGTAGAACGAGAGCCTGCAGGTAACTCCAGGGATGCTGTTGGGATGGCTGGATAGCCAGGTCGGAGCTCCCCCGGTTGGTGAGGAAGCCTTGGGCAGAGGGGCACCACTAGCCTCCCAGCCAGGAAGTGTCCCAGAAGCTCGGGACTGTGAGGGCCTCTCATGAGCAGACCTGGGTAGGCCTACAGGCCATGGATCTGGGACATGATGGATGGGCCACAGAGCATCTCTCTCTCCAGCATGTTTAGTGGCTATCTCTAAGCTCTAAGTCCATATCTCCAAGGTCACATTTTCATATTTCAATTGATCCTTCTTAGCTCAGACAGTGCCTGGGCACAGCCTCTGGGTGGTCTGATGGGAGCCCAAGCCCTCAGCCCCGTTGACCTGCAGCCGTGGCATTCCGATGGCACTCACTGGGTTGGCTCAGGCATCCATGTCAACTGGCTCCAGGCAGCGTCCTGGACTTCCTGAAAGGGTCCATGCAAATCATCCTGAAGCTTCTGGAAACCAAGAACAAACTAAAACCAAGACAAAAAAAAAAAAAGTTTGGCTCTTTACCATCACCTTTCTAGTCTGAAGTCCCAAATGCAACAGAAGGATCCTGGGGCAGGTCTGCCTGTCCATGGGGCTCCAAAAGGGTGCAGACCCTTGGACAGGTAGGGCTGCTGGGCCTCGGTCCTCCAGCATCAGGTCCAAGGTACCTTAAGTGTGGCATGATTAGTTCCCGTCTCTTTGTTTATGTTGTGGTGCCCACTTCTTTGTGAGAAGACACCTTAGATTAAAAGATTTACCCAAATAGAACTAGGCACAGTGACATAAGCCTGTGAGTCCTGCTTCTCAGGAGACTGAGGCAGGAGGAATGCAAGTTCAAAGCCAGCTTCAGCAACTTAGTGAGATTCTATCCTCAATTAAAAGATAAAAAGGACTGGGTATGGGGCTGGGGCTGTAGCTCAGTGGTAAAGCGTTTGCTTCAAATGTGTGAGGCATTGGGTTCGATCTTCAGCACCACATAAAAATCAATAGAGACACTGTGTGTTCATCTACAACTAAAAAAATGTTTAAAAAATAAAAAAGGACTGGGTATATAGCACAGTATGAGGGAAAAATGATTTACCCAAATGGTTATATGACAAATGAAGTCTTTCCAAAAATAAATTATCTTTGAAGTGGAAAGGAAGGAGGCCTTTGGGCCTTCCCTGAGCCTTTTCTGAAAAAAAATGAGACAGAGCCAACCTGAAGGAGGCAGTAGCTATGCATAAAACCAGGGTTCCCCCCCCTCCACCACACGCCTCGTCTTCCCAGCGCCTGGCTTCCTGGACAGTGGCTTCTCCTTGCTTGATCACCAGGGTTACTTTAACCTCTGGGGGACAAAGGTCACCCCATCTGCAACCACCACCTGGCTCTGCACTCTGTCCTCCTAACATGAGAGTCCTGGACATGAGGACACGCCCCTCGAGGACATGGGCAGTACACTCTGCCTGTCTGGTGATCACACACTAGCAAGTCCCTGAACAGGCCTGGGGCAGTAGGCTGTGCTCAGCCCTGCTGCATTTAAAGACGGATTGATTTGTGCTCTGAGTTCCCAAGTGGTGACTTCTCCATCTGTAGAGCAGTCTGGGCTTTTACTCAGTCACAAGATGATAGTCACCAGGAGGTGAGGGCTGAGGCTGTGTTTGTTTTCTATTGCTGGTGACAAATGTAACTGCTTAAACCAACACACATTTACTGCCTCACAGTTTCTGTGGGGGAGGACTTTGGGCCTGGCTCTGCTGGCCCTCTGCTGGGTTCCCAGGGGCTACAATCCTGGTATAGTCAGGACGGTGTTCTCATCTGTAGCCTGGGCTAGGCAATATCTTCTTCCCCACTCACTCAGACTCTCAGTAGAACGCATTCCAACGGGCCCTGTGACCAAGGGCCCTGGCTTCTTCTTGCCATTGGCTGGTGCGAGGCCAGGAAGACTCTCTATTTCCAGTATCATTTAACCTCATGTGGTCCTGAGAGGGGTGGGAGAGACAACCCTCACCTTTTCCATATTCCATAACCTGATCCCAGCACAACACCCCTCTCCTTCCACGTATTACACTGGTTAGAAGCACATCACAGGCCCTGCCCATACTTGAGGAGACAGATGACCCAGGGGGCAGGGATGGGGACCACCTTAGGATTCTGCCCACCACAGAGGACAAATGCCATAGCAACCTTCCCTCCACCCTGACCCAACCCAGGATACCAGCTAGGGCTCACTTCTCGGGCACCTCCAGCTTGGCAGGTCAGACCATTCCCCATGGCTTCCGTCCCCTGCTCGCCACAGCACCAAGCACCTGCTCTGTCTTTGCTCCCAGCCACAGTGTCACCCACTTGAGCATCTTCTGGGACAGAACAGCTCACCCCATGCCCCAGGCCCAGCACAGTCCCTGGGCTGACAGGCACAGGAAGAGAGGCTGCAGAATCACCAGGTGGCCACAGTGGTGCACAGGCTGTGGCCTGCCTCCCATTCCATGGTCAAGGCCAGCAGTATCTTGGGAGGCCTTGGGGGAGTGTCTTTGCCCAGGGGTAACTTGCCATGTCCACTTTCATCCTAGGTCCCCACCGCGACCAAGCCCCGGTGGCCTGCACTACTCAGATGAGGACATCTGTGACAAGTACAATGGTGCCGTGCTGACAGAGGGTGGGAGCCTCAAGGGGAAGTCAGCAGATGCATCAGAGTCTGAGGTCAGTGTTGCTTCAGGACAGAGACCACCACTCCCTCCTTTTGTACTAAGCTTCTGCTTCCTCCGGGCCCTCCTTCTGTCTCACGCCCACCCCTGAGGCAGGAAGAACACAGGACAAAGCCTCACTTTACAGATGAAGAAAGTGCCAGAGCCCAAGTTCAGATGCCCACGCTGTGGCCCATGGGCACCTCCCATATGGCCTGAGCAGAGCAGATGCCTGGACAGATTCTTGGGGGAGCAGGTTCCCTTCTCAGATCCTGGGGTAAGAGATCAGCAAGACAGGTATCCCCTCCTCCCGCTCCTCGGGGGCTGCCCTATAGAGCAAAGCAATGTCAGCTGAGAGAGCAGCACCCAACAGGCCCTGTGCTTGGTGTCTGGACACTCTCACAAGCTCTGTCCTAACTAGGCCTGGAGCTTCTTAGCATTGGACCAACCCTGGTGAAGAATAAGGCCCAGCAAGGGTCAGTAACTGCCCAAAGTGGGCTTCAGAGCTGGAGGCCTGCTGCCTTCCATTTGCTTTCAGCATGAGCCTATATTTCCCAGGTTTCCACACATCTTGGTGGTCTCTAGACACAGTGCAGGGGGCTGAGCTGCAGCACTGACAGAAAGTGGAGCCCCTGTTCCTGGCCAGACAGTTGCTTCCTGTTCTTCCCTGGTATTAGCAAATCTCCCCATCCTGCCCGAGAAGTTCCCTCATCCTGCCTCCTTGTGCAGAACAGTAGTTCTGGACCAGGTGACAGGGTGGGTCAGCCCAGCTGGAGACTCGTTCCTGTCCTCACTGAGCACTTGGAACTAGATGAGCTTCAGCCCCGCCCTGGGCCCTGAGCCCATCTCTGGCCTCCTCCGCTTCTGTCTGGGTACCCAGCATTTCTCCAGAAGAGCCCGTCTCCTGTGTGAGGGCTCCCTGAGGCACAAGGGGACTTCAACCAGGGGGTCTGCTGTGGGGGGGCTCTGAGAGGGGCTCCATGTACCCCCAGAGGAGTGCACTGCCTCAGTATCTTAAATTAACCAGCCCAGACAACCAAAGCATCAATTAGAGTCTTGAATGAGTCCTACATGCTTTGTTTCAAGTATGCCAAGCCTGGAGAGGGGCGAAAATCAGGGAGCCATTTGCTGCGCATACAGCCTGCCCCACCTCTCAGCATTCCTACTCTAAATCAATATTTAATCTAAAATAAGTCTCACCTTCATTTTGACCTGAATTCAGGCCTTATTGAGCCCCAAGGCTCGATAAAATGGCTTCTTTTAAATGGTTTGTATATGAACCCCATTGAGAGGGCAGCAGGTGGGTGCCAGGGCGGCCTGGCTCGCCTTGACTTTGCATGTTCTGTTTACAAAGGATGCTGGTGTGCATCTGCATCATTGCCTTGGGCTTGGCAAACAGCAAGCAGTGGTACAGATGTCCCAAAAGGTGCATTTGTCTAAATTTGAGGGTCTGTCGTGTAAAATCCTACAGAAACTGACCCACCCCACCTCTCCTGCTGAGGACACACAGCTGCTTATCCCAAAAGCAGCATGTGTGGAAGCAGCAGCACAGCCTTCTAGCAGGACTTCCTGGCACCACTAGAAAGGCACACCTGCGGGAACTGCCTCAGTCTGTTCTTAACTCCTGGCCGGACACTCTCTCCAGTGTGGCACTGTGTGTGACATCAGTAGCTACCGCACCAGCTAACATATGTTGGCTGTCGTTGTGGAACTGCGTATGGTTCACCTGCTCTGGGTGTGCATTGCCCTGAGGGACTGAGCATGGGCTACGTTTGACCTCCTACAGCTAGTGCTCACACCAGCCCCATGACGGGGGGTGTTCTCCCTGTTTAGATACTAAGGTCATCCAAAGGTAGGAAGTGGAACTGGGTGCTCACAGATCCTTAGTCTCCAGAGCTCAGCCTAACCCTGCCCCTCCATCACCACCCAGCCCAGTGCGGGCAGTGGAGGTGTGTCCTAAAGCAGCCAGAACTGGATTCATGGATTCTGAACTGTTTGTGCATCAAGGTATTCTCAGAATGGGCTCATGGAAGCCTTGGGTCTACTTCTCTCAAATGGGTGGGCTGTTTTGAGATTCAAATTCAGCTGATTTTTATGGAGGATTTCTAAATGCACCCAGGCCCTGAACTAGGCTGCACATCATGCATATGCCACACATGCAAATACATACACACCACATGCACACACACAGTGCTTACATGCATGCCTAAATATATAATCATACCTAAATACATATGTGCACATATACATGCATGCATACCTAAATACATTACACACCTTCACACACACCTAAAATCACATGTGTGCATATACATGTGCATACCTAAATGCACACTCATGCACATGTATGTGCATGCACATACACACATTAACACATATGCCTACTCACATACTTAAATACTCACTGCACCCATGCATGCCTAGACAAATACCCCCAGAGGAGCACACAGTCTCAGTATCTTACATTTCCCAGCATAGACAACCAAAGCAGCAATTAGAGTCTTGAATGAGTTTAGGTAGCATACATACCTAAACAGAAACATGAGCATACAGGTGTGAGCAGGGAGGTGAGTGTGCAGGAAGAGGGAGGGGAAGGAAGAGGGAAGGCATGGGGGCGGGACATGGAATCCACTCTAAATGGAATTCTGCACAGAGGTTGTCATCTCCTTGTAAGCCGGAGGAGGAGCGAGGCCACGAGAGGTCTTGGGATGTTCCCAAGGCACACACTAACGACCTGGGCCCAGCAGTGGGCTCTAAGTTCCGTCTTTCCCACCGCACCTGCCATTCAGAACTGAGCTGCTGAGGCACAGTCATGTGGCAGGGGAGGCCAGGGCCCATGAGGGAACTGCCTGCTCCGTTGGCAAGACCTGAGAGGGTTCCGTATGTTACACAGATACACCTCCAGGTTCCAAATATCTTTTGGGCATGGGCTCCTTACAGAAGCCAATGAAAGGGGTAGCCATTCTCCCCACCTATATATAGAATGTTACCTAGGACCTCCCTGAAGCCTCTCATAGATCACTTGACCTAAGGTCCCCAAGTCCCAGCTAAGAATACTGGGCCTGAACCACTGGGTAGCTAAAACATGCCCTGCATTTTTGGAGAGTCCTTTGCTAAATAATCTTGTTGATCCCATCTTAAACCTTATGAACTTGGGAGATTTGCAGGCACTGAGTATTCAGGAAATCCCAACATAGGGACTGGGACTTAGACCATTCTCGAAGTGCCAGTTCAGATGGCGAAGTTCACTTTGAACCATGTTTTAAATGACTGGATTGAGACATGATCCACAGGCTGCATGGCTCACCATTCATGCAGCTCACCACTTGAAGAGCACAGTTCAGTGGTCTCAGTGTATTCACAGAGTGGAGCAGCCATTCCTACAAACTCTAACATTGTTATAACCCCCAAAGACATCCTATTCCATTACCAGCCTCTCCCCAACCCCAACCACCAAGATCCCACCTTTCCCCACCTGCCTGCCCCAGACCTTGGCACCACTCACCAATTTTTTGCCTCCTTAGATTTGCCTCTGATGGACAATTCTTTTTTTTTTTTTAATAACTGAAGATATTTAATCTAGAGGAAAAAAAATACTTGAGAAACACATGATAGATATTGTTAGATACTTAAAAGGGCAACCACAAGGAAGAATGTCTAGATTTACTAATATCAATACCCATGAGTAAATTAATGGACATATTCTCTGACTTAATATGAAGGAAGACTTTTAAAACACGACTGTGGAGGAGTGTTCAGGTAGGGTCAAATGACCAATGATCAGGAGTGTTTCATAAGCAGGAGCAGGTAGGAACTAAGCCACTGTACGGTGTTTATGGTGTTTTCCAGTTAAAGAGGTACTATGAGCAGCTTCTGTCCAGTAAATTACTGTCACTCCTCTTGGGCTTGAGTGTTGGTTACTCTAAAGAGGAATTTTGGGAAGGTAATTACATTGGCTTCTCAAATTTAGTCAGACAGAAGCCTTCATGCAGATAATCTTTGTGATTCTCCAAACACCCACTCAACAACTGGTCTCAAAAATACCCAGTACTTACTTAGTTTTACCCACTTCACAATATGCTCAATATGAGCAGTTTGATTCCCAAGCCTTGGTCAGGCACGAGTATTTCTTGTGAGCCATAGTTTTAGGCTTAAGAGCCTTTGTTGGGGGAGAACCCTCTGCCCACAAGGGACTGTGACCATAGAAATCAGTAGAAGGAGAGGGATCTAATGAGTCTTGGGGAGATTTCCTAATACCAATACCCATGAGTATTGGTAAAGGCCTAAAGGTCCCGTCCTGGTACCATCACTGTCTGATGGACATTTCATCTAAATAAATCAGATTGTCTTTTGTGACCAGTTTATTTATTTCAGCATAATGTTTTCATTGAATGGATACACCACATTTTAAAACTAGTTTTATGAAGGTTTGTGTCCAGGATCCCCAAGACTACTCCAAGTCCAGTGATTCGCTAGGACTCAACAGGACTCAGCTGTGCTTATGACTGAGAGATATGACAGAGAGAGGACAGAGCACAGTCAACTGCAGGCAGCCCTGGGGGTGCTGCTTAGAGGACTCAGCTCCTAGGCTCACAAATATGCCAAAACTCCATCCCTGGATTATAGGATTGGTTCACTGTGCCTAAACTGTATCTCAAAGTATATTCTAATTTTCCTTCTAATTTCTTCTTTGACATGTTGGTTATTTAGGAGCATATTTTTTTAAAGAGAGAGAGAGAGAATTTTTTAATATTTATTTTTTTTTTTAGTTTTCGGTGGACACAACATCTTTATTTTATTTTTATGTGGTGCTGAGGATTGAACCCAGCACCCTGAGCATGCCAGGCGAGCGCACTACCACTTGAGCCACATCCCCAGCCCAATATTTTTAATTTTCTTATATTTTAAATTTTCTACTATTGACTCTTTCTTTTTTTGTGGGGGTGTGGGTTACTGGGAATTGAACTCAGGGGCACTTGATTATTGAGCCACATTCCTAGCCCTATTTTGTATTCT